ACTATGTAAGGCTCCACTCCCTTCCCACATCATTATGGGTGAATTTAGCAATCTAAATTGTGGGTTTTAACATTTCTCTTACATATAATGAGAAAGTGAGATGCTGTATTAATTCATGCTGCAGCAATTTCATGTCTTTTACTCTGTTCTAATCAGAGCAGTATGAGAAAGAACAAAAACATACCCATGTGGGGACAAAGAAGGAAGCAGAAAGAACCAACATGCCTGCAGTGGGAAGGGAAATAGCAGGTGCACCTCACTCTCCTGATTCTCTTCTTGTCCTTCTTCCACACTATATGGGTCCTGACCAGAGCTTGTGAAGGAGAGTACAATTCATTGTTGCTAGAGCACAGCTGAAATGAGTAAAGACATAAAATGAATCCCACTGGGTTGAATTTGAAATTAGGTGATTATAAATATGATACATACACATTTATATATTTTTTTGATGGTGAATTAATTTAAATAAATCACATAAAAAACTAAATGCTCAAATACTTCCGAGATACTTGCCATCAACAATCCCCATTCTGTGTTGAACTAATTATCCATGGTGAATTTTATGCCTTATACTCTTAGTATAATATTTCTCACTCTGCCATGAGCTTATAGTTTTTTACCACTTTCAGGTGACATGTCGGGACTAGCGTGTGGAGTAGGCACAAAGCACTTTTATTGATGTATGTTTTTTATGTAAAAATCGGCCCTTTTTGGTCAATACCTTTTGTAATAAAAATAGAAGCTCCAATGATTATTTTAGTACCCTTATTTAATATTTCTTCCGCTTGCGTTTATTAAATTGTTTAAAGATTTGGCCGGAGGTAACCTTGGTTACTGGCCATCACGATGCCTAACCCTTGGGTACGGGGAGCGGGTCGTGACACTTAGCAAGGCTAAGCGCCACCCCTTTCTCCCTCAAGATAGAAAACACGTCGCTTTCAGCTAGCCCAAGTTCACACTCTATGACGGAAAGATTGATCCTTATATGTACTTGAGCCACTTCCTACTAGTCATGGCTAGCTACAGGCAAAACGACGTATGTATGTGCCTAATTTTTCCATCGAGTTTGGGTGAGTTGGGCCTGAAATGGTTCGAGAGGCTGCCGACGGAAAGTATCAAGGGGTGACAGCAGTTGGTAGAGGCGTTTGTGACCCGATTCAAAACTAACACAAAAACGCCCAAGGAAGTCGACCACCTTCTGGCTATCAAGATGGAACCGGGTGACTTACTCAAGGCGTACAACACCAAGTATTGGAAAATATTTAATGAGATTCTTGATTGCCCGACTAAGCTAGTAATTACCCAATACAAGCACAGTCTCCTAGTCGGATATAGGCTGAGAGACTCGCTCACCATGAATCAGTCGACAACCATGGAACTACTGATGCAGTGCATCAATGAGCACATCCGAGTTGAGGATGATGCTACTACAGCCGCCGCAAAGGTGAATTTGGTGGCAGTAGACAAAATGGTGGCCAGGACAGTTCATACTGTCGGACATGAGGCAAACCGTCCGCATAACCATGAAAGAGAACAAGGTCATGGCAATAACCATAATAATCGGGGTAAGGGTCATCATAATGACCGAGCTGACTACCCCCGCGATACTGCGAAAGATGCAAAGAGAAAGTTGAACGCCTGAACTAGCATTACCACGGTTTTCAAAATCTCAATCTACCGCATTCTTAGCAAGATCCGTGACGAGGCATACGTCGGGTGGCTAGCTAAGTTGGGTGATGCACAAAGAGGCTTTAATCCAAGGTATCCTTGCACCTACTATGATGAGCGTGGGGCACTGCACAAAACACTATGTCCCTTTAAAACAGCATTTAGAGGAGTTAATGGCGGCCGACCACCTGGACCGTTACATTGATGGACGCATCAAGGCCGCGCCCTACATTCAAGCTCAGCCAAATAGCTAGGCCATTGTAGAAGCACCCCCCTAAGGCATAATCAATGTGATCCACGAGATCATCAAGCTAGCGCGGGTATGCGAGCTCCGGGGGATGACCTAGAAAGTGGAACATATGAGAGAAGTTCTGTCGGTCCAACCTCCCATCAAAAAGGGCAAAACTGAGGTGAAGGATATCCTAAAATTTTTAAGTCGAGATCTTGAGCGCATTCAAACGCCGTACAATAATGCATTGGTGGTCACACTCCACGTGAAGGACTTTGACGTTAGGCGCATTTTAATCGACTAGGGTAGCTCGGTTGAAATAATGCATTATGACGCCTTCAAGCAGCTCAAGCTAAACGATAAGGACTTGGCCCCAGCGACCTCACCACTAGTTGGCTTCAACTTATAGCAGGAGTGGCCTGTAGGGAAGATCATCTTACCGGTCAAAGCTAGGTCCATCGTCAAGTAAGTAGAATTTTGGGTGTTGAAGGTGGCCTCCACTTATAACCTAATCCTTGGTCGAGGATGGCTTCATGCCATACAAGCAGTGGTGCCGACTTACCACTAAGTCAGGAGGTTTCCCTCTGTTACGGGTTCATAGAAGAAGTTTGGGGCGATCAAGTTATGGCCAAGCAGTGTTTTGTGGCCATGAATGGAAGCTGAGCTGCCAAAGACTTCGTACAAATGATTGAAGGTCCGGAAGATCAAAGTGCCCTAGACGACGTGGCTACCAAAGCCGAGGAGAAAGTTGTCGAAAACTTGGTAGAGGTAAGAATCAATGAGAGTGATCCTGATAAGTTCTTTCTGCTAGGATCCACCATGACCACCCAAAAACGACTAGAGATGGTAAATTTCTTGGTGGCAAACATCGAGTTGTTTGCTTGGATGCCTTACGACATGCCTTCCATCGATCCAAACTTCATTTGCCATCAACTTAATGTTTTCCTTGACACCTGGCCAGTCATCCAACGAACACGGAGATCAGCGCTTCGTCACGACGAGGTGGTGGCTAAGAAGGTGAAGAATTTGTTGGAAGTGGGAACGATCTGGGAGGTGCACTACCCGCGATAGGTCTCTAATACGGTTGTCGTGCCAAAAAAGAATAAAAAATGGCAAGTTTGTGTCGACTACAAGACGGTCAACCGAGCTTGCCCCAAGGACAGCTTTCTCTTGCCTTGAATCGATCAACTGGTTGGCCTCACAGTTAGGCATAGAAAGCTGAGTTTCTTAGACACCAAGGTTACCACCAGATTGCTATGTATGAGCCTGACCAAGAAGTTACTTCTTTCACGACCCCAAAAGGGTTGTTCTGTTACAGAGTTATGCCCTCGAGTTAAAAAAAGGCCGGAGCGACCTTTCAGAGGATGGTTACCAAGATATTCGCTCCCTTGCTCGACTAGACTATGGAAGCATATATCGACGACATGGTCGTGAAGAGCAAATGTGAGACTGACTACTTAGCCGACTTAGCGGAGATGGTCGCCATTCTCAAATGACACAAGTTGCGTCTGAACGCATCGAAGTGTGCTTTCGACGTGGGGTCAAGGAAATTCTTAGGTTTTTTAGTCACCAACCGTGGAACTGAGGCAAATCCCTCTCAAATTAAAACCGTACAAAAATTGAAGCAGTCCAACTCAGCAAAAAACGTGCAACATCTTGCCAAGATGCAAGCCGCACTTAACAAATTTATAAGCCAGTCATCAGATCATTGTCACCCTTTCTTCCAAGCCTTAAAATCAAAGTTTTCATGGGGCGAAGAATATGACAAGGCATTGGCCAAACTAAAGACATACATATCCTCAGCTCCACTTCTTGTATACCAAAGCAGGCAAAAAACTGTTTCTTTATTTGGCCGTTTTTCACCATGCCGTCAGCGCGGTACTTGTTAGGGTAGAAGGCATACAACATCTGCCGATCTTCTATGTGAGCAAGACCTTACTCCCAGTAGAATCGCGATACTTGCCACTCGAAAAGCTTGTCTTGGCACTAATGATGGCCTCTAGAAAGTTGGCACATTATTTTCATGCGCACACAGTCGTTGTGCTGACTGAATTTCCATTGAAGGCCTTGTTTGAACAAGCTGACTTTTCCGGACAAATCTTGAAGTGGGCAGTCAAATTGGGGCAATTTGACGTCAAGTTTCAACTAAGAACGGCCATCAAGGCCCAAGCCTTGGCCAACTTCATTGCAGAATTTTCACTTGGAGCTCACACAGTTTGCCCGGTGGACCTTACCTATGCAATTGGGCTAAGGGGGATGGGTACCATGGAAATTGCCCAGCTAACTCCCACTCCAGTCCAAGTCTTAACGAGTCAAACATGGAAGACGACGCGAAAATTGCGCGCTCGAGCACAGACCCATCAATTGAAGGCCCACCTCACCTTGGCAATGCGCTAATGGATTTGGAAATAACAAGCCAACCCGTTGGATCCAACGCCGCATCACCAAGGGAGGATGGGGTTATGCAGGTTGCAATCAACAACGGCGCACTTGACGCAAAAATAGTCGAGCGACCGAGCAACTCAAAACGGTTGGTCCTCCGAAATTCTAAAGACCCCGCAGAATATTGGAAGCTTTTTATCGACGAGATGTGGAAACTTTTCATCAATGGCGCTTCAAACAAACATGGTGCTAGGTAGGCGTAGTTTTGATCCCGCCAAACGAATTGACTAACATTCCATAATGTTGGGGTTCCCTGCATCAACAATGAAGCCGAGTACGAAGCGCTGCTAGCTGGGCTGAAAAGTGCACTCCGACTACAAGCATCAGAGCTTATGGTCTGCAACAACTCCCAACTTGTGGTCAACCAAGTGTCTGGGGAGTATAAAGCCAAAGATAGCAGGATGGCGAAATCTCAAACCTTGGTGAGAGAGAAAATCAAGAAGTTTCAAGCCATACGAGTACAACAAATAAGCTAAGAAGACAATAGCTGTCACGACCCAAACCCGCCCCTACAGGTTTAGCGTCGTAACCGGCCAGTAATCCTTAGATTACCAAAAGCCTCTTAACAACATATCATATAATTAGGGGCTGCGGAAGCAAATAGCAATTATACAACGTCCATTAAGTTGTGTAGACCTATATGAGACAAAAAAAATTTAAACTTTATATACATACATATATACAACATCATATATACACACATATAAGCTAGACAAAAAGGGACTTAGCCCTATTTACAAAATATACAAAAACTTGTCTAACTGAACAGGAAAACAAAACTTCAATTTATGCACTTAGTCATAACCACTAGACATGTCCGGAACCTCCACAGGGAGGCACATAGGTTGGCTGTCAAAACGAAATTAGGCTGAAGCCGCTAACTTTGTTCCGGTGCCTGACCACCTACATATATACAATAAACTGTGAGCTAAAGCCCAATGAGTAACGAATGTGTAAAAAGGTTAAGAATGAATGTCATTTCAGTAATTAAAACAGTCAATTGCATCTGTAGATCAGTTATTTAATCAGTGTCTTATATTTCATGTCATATCAGTCATTTAGAAACCATAGCAGTCATACGTGGTACATTTAATAGCAGAACAGTACAGTAGGTCTTAATAGACCAAACAGTCAGTTGATGGCCATCAAAACAGTAAATAGTAGTAGTTCCAAACGTTGGAACTGACAGAGATCTCTGTAACAGTAGCAGTAATAGCAACAGTAGCAGTAGCAGCAGCAGTAACAGTAACAGTAGCGGTCAGTTGCTATGAATGCCACGAGTACAGTTCATAAAATAGAACAAACATTCATTCAGTAAACAACATCATTTCAGAAAACAGTACAGTTAATCGTTCAGAAAATAATTATAATTGAACGTAACTTTACAGCATTGTTACTCACAGATGGCTCCACTAGCAGATTAGATAATGCAGACAGTTCAGATTGATCAAGCGAACGATAGCTCGTGGCCTACACAAACCCATAACATATGCACATCGAAACACAATATCAATTCCTTGATCAAGCTTGACTTTTCTTGTCTTTTTTTGTCTAAGTAGTTTGAGATTCTACTACGTGTATTCTTCATTTATTCAAATGAATCGGATTCTTATTTCACATATCCTTTCATTACTAAATCATTCTTTTCTGGATAAACCAATTCTTACTTGCCTTCTTAATCAAGTACTACTAAGTTAATGATTTATTCTTTAATCAACTAATTAATGTTGATTGTTAGCTTATTAATCTTTATTGAGCCATAAATCATGTCTAGAATGCTTTGGAAGGAGATGAGAATAAAAAGGTGAATTAAATGCAATTTTTTTCAAAATATGTTGAAAATAGGATCTTCGCTCGAGCGCCACTTTGGTCACTCGAGCGGACTGTAAAATTTTACAAAACTTTTGGGAGCTCAATTTTCACGCTCGAGCGAGCGGACAACATGAATTCTGGAATTTTAAATTTCTCAAAAATGGCTTCCTAGTGCATTTTCAATCTTTAAACCCATACTAACCTTGATCGAAACTTTGAAAATACTTTAGAAAATATAAACACTTATTATTATAAATTATTTGCTCAAAATCTTGAAACACAATATTTAAATCAAAACTCATGAACTCATGACTCTAAAATCCCTTTTCAAAATCAAATGCACAATAAAATTGCATATAATTTATGGAGCTTGATTTAATTATAACTTCGAAAATCAAATCCAAAATAATTAATTTTTAATTAAACATCATAAACTTGATCTTAGCTCCAATTCTTCATTTTCTTGTCAATTTTTCCTAGAAAACATTGCATACATGTAATTCAAATAAAACTAACTAATTTAATATATTCAATAACTTGTTTAAATAAAATAAAACTCTTAAATTACATTACATGCATGGATTAGAGATTAAAACCAAACCAATTTTTAGGTTTCAAAAGAAAATCAAAACCTCAATTTGAAGAATTCTTACAATTATTTCCATAACCATAAACATGCATGTAACCCATTTCATGTTTAGAACCCAATTTCCTTCCATAATTTTGAATCCAATTCAATTTCTTCATCAGTTTACTAATTCCTCTTAAATCATGAAATTAAAATTACAAACTCTTTTAAAGAAATATTTGCATGTATGCAATTAGGATCAAAACTATTGATTATATATATATATTTTTTTCCCAAGCAAATCATAATTTAATCCTTGAATTACTCTAATTTAGATTTTTATTAATTTTCTCCATATCTAATCCAAATTTAAACTTATAAATCTTTTACACATGAATTAAATCTAAAACTTTGAAATTCTGACATGCATGTAAGGATGAGTTTCAATTTATGAAGAATAACAAAAATCAAATTCTAATTAATTAATTTCCAAATTTATTTCCATAATCTTAAACATAATTCCATGTTTCTTCATCTTCTTGCTAATTCCTATTAATTACATGATTTTGAGTCCAATTTCATCTTTAATTTCAAGTATAATATAAAGATTCTATAAAAATTAAACATGATTTCATACCTTAAGCTTTAATTTCAGCATTTTAATTGATTCTCCTCTACTTCCCCTTTTCTTTTCTCATTTTCTTTCTTTACTCCATAGCTTTTCCTTGAGTTCTTGTCCAGAAATAGTACAAATCTTGGACTCACTCACTCTCTCTCTCTCTCCCCCCGGCTTTTTCCTTCCTACAACCTGATTGAGTTCCTTTTTCCATCCCATATACATGTAGATAATGGATGTCCAGCAATGCTCTCAACTTTTCTAGAAGTCTCACAAACATAAATCAACATCTTAATTAATTAGAGCAATATTAGATTATCTTGCCAATTATGTATTAATTTAATTGATTACTCTCTCTCTCTCTTTTTTCCTAGTTAATCATAACTAGCTTAATTAATCATAACTAATCACAAACTTCACATAATTTAATTAATCTAATTTGACTTCCATTAAAGCCCAATCTATCATAATTAATTTATCAATCTGAATCAAATTTTTAATCAAATTCCCAAAAGGTTCAAAATATCAAATTAAATTTATTGTCGTCATCGATTTTGGTTTCTTAAATCTTTAAGATCTTCAATTTCATATCAAATACAAAATCTCCGCCGACAAATTGCGTATTGGGCAGCTCATAAGTAAATTTAGTTCAAACTAATCGTAATTATCAATCCTCAAAACTTAATTAATTTAATTAACCTCAATTCGGACCCAATTAATCAAATCCCAATTTTACTAAATCCGAATCGAATATTTAATTAAACTCCCATAGGTCCGATACTTGAAATTAAATAATTCAATTCACCATGTGTACTATCTTGAGCCATTTAGGCTTTCAATTTCTAATTCTAAAATAAACCCTTAGTAGAATCACATACAAATCAGCCTTCATAATTTTTCTTAAATCTCAGATCAAATTAGAATAATTAACAATTAAATTTCAAATCTCCTTAATTAATTAAGTACTAATCATTATACGTGGTGGTGTCGTTACAAAAGCCGAGCAGATGAATTACCTGGTTTTGCTTCTATGGTCGACAAATTAGCTTCTAGCCCTTTCCTGATTGAATTGCTCCCAAGACCCAGTATCGAACAACAAGAAAAGCAGGAGGTCTTCTGCGCCGAGTTAGGTCCATCCTGGATGGACCCCATCATTTTTTTTCCTGAAAGGCAGAATCTTGCAGACCAACAAGAAAAAGGCGAACAAAATCCGGGTGAAGTCTAAGCAGTTTTTTCTCTCTTCGTCTGGCGCCTTATATAAGAAATCGTTCACTGGTCCATACCTTAGGTGTGTTCATCCAAGCAAAGTTGATGCTTTTCTTTTTGAAATCCATGAAGGGATGTGCGGAAGTCATATTGGCTACAGGTCTCTAGCCTACCATGCTATCTTGCAAAGATATTGGTGGCCGTGCATGCAAGCCGACTCGCAAAAGTATGTGAGGAAATGCGAGAAGTGCCAAAAATTTGCTTATCAAATTCATCAGCCAACCAGAGAATTACTTTCTCTCACAAGTCATTGGTTGTTTGCAATATGAGGACTAGACATTGTGGGACCACTCCCAACTGCCCCAGGCAACCGCAAGTTCTTCATCGCCGCGACAGATTACTTCACCAAATGGGTAGAAGCGAAGCCCCTGGCAACCATCAAGGAGAAAAATGTGAAGAAATTTGTCTAGCAAAATGTTATAATGCAGTTTGGACTGATAAAGAGGCCAATGGTAAATAACAACAACATAAATCAAAGTACGAACAAGTCATCTTGGCAACAGGGGTAGAGGTCTCCTCATAATCAATACCATACTCTTGTGAAAAATCTTTGGCAACCAGACGAGCTTTGTAGCTGAGTGAGACCAATCAATTGAATCCCAGTCTGTCGGGACATATTGTAACTCATTGCCGGAAGGCTGAGCCAAGGGCACCGCCAAGCAATACGGTC